GTGAAAATATTTTGCTTGATACTTGTTTCTTAAATAGAATGTCAAAATCAATTTTGAATCTAGGTTTTGAATCATGTAATTATGTTCTTGAAACATTATCCATTGTCTTTGCCATAATCATTAAATTATACTATGATTTAAAGCCTACTCTTTTTCCCTTAAGAAGGCTTTTTTGTCTTTTTTTTTTTCCTTTAACAAGGCTTCCTTACGATGTAAGCATGTTTTCTAGTTGTAGACTTGAATGTTATAGTGAAAATATTTACATAATGATAGTTTTATTGACTAAAATAATATTAGGTTGGTTTCATTAAGTTATTTTTTGGAATTAAACTAAAAGAATGAGAAGATTACATATGCAAATTAGGTTTTTTCTGGTTCATTCATGCATTACACTAATGAATATGATGTTTATAAAATTATTTTTGGTGGTATATAAATGGATGATTACCTTATGTATATATGAATGAATAAAACATTTATAAAATTATTTCTACTTTTATATGAATGGATGATTACCTTCTTACCTTCTGTATATATAAAATAATTTACAAGAATTATCTAATTAGATTTTTTTATGCTATGCAAATGCTTCTTTATAGAAATTTATAATGGGATCATTTATTTTAGGAAGTTGTTCATTTACTCTAAGCATTATGTTTGTAAGGGGATTTGGTTTTGTTTTGGATGTTAGACACTTTGTTGAAATAAGGTTATTGTGTTTTGTGATGTTTGATTGGTGTATTGAATACTGTTAGTGAGCTGGGTTCATTGAGCTTATTAGTTATATGATGTGGCTATATTTATTGATTTTTTCAAGACTTGTGATATTTTGTGTGAATTAAAATATTTTGGTTTTGGAAAGGGCTTGTAATAGGTGCATGTATGTTTTTTCTTATTGAGGTGGTTTTGCAATTGTTTGTTGGTTTATAGATTTTTTTAAGATTATTTTGTTCAAAGTTCTATTGAAGTTTTAAAGTGATCAAAAGGTCTTTAAGTGTTTGATGTTGCAAACTTATGATTGTATTTTTTAGGGTGAAGTGTGTAATTCTTTATCTATCTTGTCATGATGTTTGTTTTATCAATGTTTGTTTTGTTAGATTTGGTACAATGACTTTAGTGTTTTACTTATACTAAGTTTGTGTGAATTATAAATAATTTACTTGTAGTTTTAATATTACTAAATATCTTTTACTTTATTGTGTTTTTTTTTTTTAGTTTACATGAAAACATATCATGTTATGATTATAAATAAATTAATATTAATAATTGAAAATATAATTTTTAAAAAAATTTACCAACGTCTTAACATTTATATTGACATATTCGATCGTTAGAATATTTCAAGCGATACTAATAGTCATCAATTGTCAATAAAATATAATAAAAAAAAATTAGAACATATAAGTATATATTGTCAATCTCCAATCGTAGGTACAGATAAGAAAATTAAAAAATATAAGTCTATACTAATGGATGCTAAGCATCGGTATAGGTAAGAAATATTATAAGTCTATATTGACAAACGTTAACCGTCGGTATAGGTAAGAAAAATTAAAACATATAAATCTATACTGACAGTCGTTAACCGTCGGAATAAACAAGAAAGTTAAAACATACAAGTCTATACTGACAGGCATTAACCATCAGTATAAATAAGAAAAATTAAAACATACAAGTTTGTACTGACATGTATTAACCGTCGGTAAAAGGTATAATGGTGGAACACACAATAGATGCTGTACCAACAGATATACATTTATTGATGGTTTTAAACCGTAGATATATCTTTGTGAGCTATTCAGACACCTTAAAAACGTCAGTATAGGTCAATACATATAAGAGATGTATTGATAGTTAAAAATTCGTCAGAATACACATTTTAACCATCGGTATAAGATTTATTATGTTATATTGACAAATTTTTTTATTTTACCGATGGTTTTTTAAGCGTCAATATATGTCAATTTTCTTATAATAATGTATAATTTAACTTATTCTTTTTTTTTTTGGTATAATAACTTATTCTTATTTGATGTTAACTCAAATTGTAGACATTTTAGTATGTGATGAATAAGTTATAATTTGTGTCTTTTGCATGGCGATAAATTTTGTAAAATTAATTCATTAGTTTTCTCCTTTTATTGAAGGAAAATTTTCATTCCAATTAATAAAATGCATTTTATTTATTTTTCGATTGGAGGATGGTAGGATTCCTAATAAAAAAAATACAAGAACTAAATGAAGCCTGAAGAGGGTCAGACTGTATGTACAAGCTTCTAACGGCACAGATTTCATTTGCTTGTAAACAGGGGGATGAATGACGGCTTCATGAGAGGTGCACCCTTCTGCTACAATTAAACTTTTTGCTTAACGAAGAACAGGCAGCTTAAAAAATAAAAATAATGTCACTTAAATTATAATTAGTATTTTATAAACCTCCAATGAAGTTCTTTTTAAAACTATAAGAGAATTTTCATATACTAACGTTTAAAAAATCATCGATAAAAATTAATAATTTATTGATATAATTTAAAAATTTTATATCGATGAATAAAATGTGTATTTTAACAAATTTTTAATCATTGATATATTTTTTTTCAGCATAAATCTATACTGATAGATTTTTAGCTATCAGAATAGGTTATAAAAATATATTAATGATTTAGGTCCGTCAATAAATGTATAATTGTCGCTATAATATTTGTTATGTATTTCGTTGATATATTTTTTATCAATGATTAACTTTTGTCAGTATAAACTTATATATTTTAATTTTGTGTTTATACTGATAGATTGACTGATATTATATCTTTTACCAATAATCAACGTCCATCAAAATACCAATCATATTTTTAAATTTTTTTGTCAAAACCAATAATGGATATGATGTTGTATCTTTTTTAACGATCAATATTGACAATATAAATGTTAAGATATTACTAAAAACTTTATTTTTTAAATTAATAATCTTAATTTATTTATGATCTTAATCTAGTATGATTTCATATAAACTATTAAATTATAAATACACAAAAATATATAAAACAAATATTTAATAGCATTTAAAATAAAATTACAAGCATGATGCTTTATTATATACACACATCTTACCAAGAAATGACTTGCTCTTAAGCATACGGTGGTACAACTCACGAGGTACCCTACAAAAATTGCAGAAACAAGAATTGTACGAGTAACCCTTGCCACATAGATTAGGGATTCTAGGCATTTATTATATGACAATAAACTTCAGGAAAAAAGAAAAAAAGAAGAGGTTGAAACAATTTCCAACTTCTCTTAAAAAATTTTACGTCTTTAAATCAAAATATACCATGACATGTTATGACTTAGCAACCCTAATCCTTTGAAAGATCATGATCATTGAAGTAATAACTTTTTACATGCAATATAGGCCAATGTAATAGATAATTGCAGATACTATTAATCAAAGGATAAACACTTTCTTCAACGTTATCTGCAAAAGACTTCTCATATGATATGTCAATTCTTGTCCCTCCCAACCAACAAATCACTTGTTCATTTACCAAGAAAAAAGCGAGGGGAATGGAAAGAAGGAACTTTTTTCATTATACGACTTATTCTAAAAAAACAAATCACATATTCAGTGTAAAGCAGAACTGCCAAGAAATGACTTCATAGATACAATAAAGACGTAGATAAAAGTTAGAAGCTGAAAAGATTGATCACTTCAAAATAAATTTACTGATAGTTACATGTACATTATCTGAAGCATACATGTTTAATCATTGATCTTAGAAAGGAATCATGAATTCTATATCGGCTATATATTAAAGTTGATTTTAAGATATAAGGGTTTACATCTTTTTAATTTGTGAGGCGCTTTCTGTGGAATAAAATTGCAAGATCAACGGATCAAAACGGATAATACCTCATAAATTAGTATGGACCGTGACATTTGATATTGAAGTTAGCTTTGGGGGTATTAGCGATATGCCACCGAGGATGGTGAGCCTCCATTGGAGTGAAAGAGGATGTCATGATCCTAGAGAGGAGCCATAAATCCCACATCAACTGTGTACTAGAGCTGATCTTGGGATATAATGGTTCATACCCTTTTAACTTGTGAGGCATTTTTTATGAGATAAAATCGTGAGGTCAACAGATCAAAACGAATAATACTTCACAAATTAATATGGACCGTGACACTATCACTAACCGTTACAATATTTGAAATGGGGACATTTTTTCCTAACACAATAGATCTATCATCTCCCTTAGCACCTCTATCCGGTTATGACCCTATACAAGGTTGACTCATAACAACCTAAGCCCGGTCATGACTCCTAAATTTATATAAATTTATATACGAAAACAAACTGATTATTTTCATTCCAGAAGATAAGACTTGATGCAAAGAAAAAATACTTTTTAACTTATACGGCTTGATGCAAAGAAAAAGTACATTTAAACTTAAAAAAAATTAAGGATATAGGATGAGTAATCGGATTAAAATTGAGACTATTTTACTTATAATTATTTATATTTCAATCATGCAATTAATTAATTATAACAAAATTTTATGTAAAAGTAAATCTCTTTAAAATGTGAATTTTACATAAATTTTTGATAAATTTAATATAATATTAAATTTTGATTAATTAATTATACTAAAATAATTGTAGTTGGTGCAATTTGTGACGTAAAAGAAATAGCAATAGAATAATAAGAAAAAAAAAAAAGAAGGCGATAGGATACAACTTATATGTTTTTGTAAGACTTCGATAAGCCAAAAAGTGGAAGGCAAAGTGAAGGTTGCATTAATCCTTGTTGAGGTAGGAATTATGACTTCTTGCCAAATATAGGATTTGTTTTTTATAGTCCTTAACAATTAGGGAGTCCGCCTCTGATTCCCCTTGCTATATCCTATATATACATAGCTTTCTTCTAAATTATTTTTTTACGTTTTCTCAAAAAAAAAAAGGAAGAAAAACTCTCTTTTTACGTTTTCTAGCATAACCATGACGAATACAACTGCCAACAGCGTTATTGAGTCTCTTCCGGAGGAGATGTTGTCAGAGATTCTTAGGCATGCAGCCTCCAATTCAGTTTCTGATTTCGTCAATCTCAAGCTAAGTTGTAGGGCATTTTTTGGAGCATCAAACTATAATCATATTTTTGAGAATGTTTCAATGGAGAAACACCGCATCTTACCATTGTATAAAAGCGAGCAAGTTTTCTTTAAGCTATGCAAAGATGCCGGGAATCCAGAAGCATTATATAAGACAGGAATGTGCAACTGTTTCAATCGAAGGCAAACTGACTCAGGGTTGCGTTACTTGAAGAAAGCAGTCGAAAAAGGTCATGTCGAAGCCATATATTCTTATGGCATTATCTTGATTTGTTTGGGGGGTGAGCTACAAAAACAAGGGCTTCAAGTTTTGTCTTCTCTCAATCTCACTGCTTCTAGCAAAAGAAGTTTCAAGATTGCTAGCTGCCGTTCCAAAACACAGAAGATCCTGAGCGATATGTGGGTCTTTTTCTCTTTGCCTGGGCCCCGAGAATATTCTTTCAACGAAGCAAAAGTAGTCGGCCGCAATTGTGAGCACGACATTCCGCCAAGAGAACACAATCCGTGGATAATAAGAACCAACATAGAAATAGTTGAAAACCTCCCTTGTTGTGACTCCTGCTTTTGGGATCGTGAAGCAACTTTATTTTGTACTATGCTCGAGGAAAAAGGAATTCCTGAAGACGTTTAGTCGGCCTACTGCATGTAATAGCTAATTCTTCTATATCTATTCTCTTACATCTTTTATTAAAATAATATATAATTGGATTCATAAGTGCTTTTTTTTTTTATTTGAGTCGGTGAGACTTTGAATTTTAATCTGAACTAAGAAATCAGTTTTCTACCAGCAAACTACGCGAATTCAGAAGTTTTGATTAAGTATAGTTGCTATTAATGATTAAAGATGACTGGAGTCTTTTTGATTTAGCAAACAAAGTAATTAAATATTTACGAGAAAGCTTAGTATAACAGTTTCTGATGAATAAGATGTCAGGTCGGTAGGGTAGCATGTTCCTGACTTGCAAGAAGAAACTGAAGCGATTGTTCAATTCTGCTCCCTTGACCTTTCCCCCAACAATGCGTTATATTCCTCTCTCAGGCTGTTATATTTTTTGCTTAGGTTATTAAAGCTTCCTTTTTCTCATCTGGGACATCCTTCTTCTTCTTCTCCAGGCGAAGCTTCACAGCTTCGATTTGTCTCTTGAGCTCTTGGATCTTTAGCATTTTCTACTCATGCTGTTTCTGCAGTGTTTCCAACTCTGATGGTGCTTTGGCTAAAGCTCTAAGAGTTTAGTGTTTCAGATTTCTGATAATGTAATTAATAATAATGTTACTAGTTTCACTTTAGATAAAGAATCAGATATTACAGGGACACCACCGCTGTCTAAAAATAGAGGAAGAGGTTGCAGGTGTTGGGATTTGAACTTAAATGCCACCTTTTAAGACTGGTTTCATGAATCTTCTGAACTAAACCATTGATTCATGAATCGGATGTTACTTTTGATTTGAGAAAATGCATGATATTGGGGAAACAGAACTGAGGGGAAGTATTTGAACTTCAACAAAGTCAAAAGAAAAAGTATTTGAACTCTTGACAACAAAGCATTTAAAAAAAAAAGTGAGAGCTCATTGTTCAGTTATCTGACTTTCTTTCTAGCTCACTAGTTTGTAAATGCCTCAAATATCTAGGGCAACTGTACAAAGAAAACTGTTCTCTTCACGGAATTTCGGTCTATACTGGTACCATAATATCAGATTTGGGGGGGGGGGGGAGGTTCGAATTAGAGATTGATAGAAAAGCAAGGATATGGGCTCGTGTAAGTAGGAAACAGAAAATATCTATTCTAGTTATATAAGACAGGAATGTGCAACTGTTTCAATCGAAGGCAAACTGACTCAGGGTTGCGTTACTTGAAGAAAGCAGTCGAAAAAGGTCATGTCGAAGCCATATATTCTTATGGCATTATCTTGATTTGTTTGGAGGGTGAGCTACGGAAACAAGGGCTTCAAGTTTTGTCTTCTCTCAATCTCTCTGCTTCGAGCAAAAGGCGTTTCAAGATTGCTAGCTGCCGTTCCAAAACAGAGAAGTTGCTGAGCCGTATGTGGGTCTTTGTTTCTTTGGCTGGGCCAGGAGAATATTCTTTCAACGAAGCAAAAGTAGTCGGCCGCAATTGTGAGCACGATATTCCGCCAAGAAAACACAATCCTTGGATAATAAGAAACAACACAGACATGGTTGAAAACCTCCCTTGTTGTGACTCCTGCTTTTGGGATCGTGATTCACTAACTATACCCGACCCAACCCGATTCGAAAACCGAAATTCAAAAAAACCCGATCCCATAGGGTCGGGTCGGGCCGAAACCCGTCGGGGACTGGGTTGATTGCCGTCCTATTCGTGAGGCAACTTTATTTTGTACTATGCTTGAGGAAAAAAGAATTCCTAAAGGCGTTTAGTCGGCCTACTGCATGTAATAGCTAATTCTTCTATATCTATTCTCTTACATCTTTTTATTAAAATAATATATAATTGGATTCATAAGAGTTTTTTTTTTTTTTTTTATTTGAGTCGGTGAGAATTTGAATTTTAATCTGAACTAAGAAATCAGTTTTCTACCAGCAAACCACGCGAATTCAGAAGTTTTGAATAAATTATAGTTGCTATTAATAATTAAAGATGACTGGAGTCTTTTTGGTTTAGCAAACAAAGTAAACATTAGTGACGAACTAAACAAAACATTAAATATTTACGAGAAAGCTTATTAAAGCAGTTTCTGATGAATAAGATGTCAGGTCGGTAGGGTAGCATGTTCCTGACTTGCAAGAAGAAACTGAAGCGATTGTTCAATTCTGCTCCCTTGACCTTTCCCCCAACAATGCGTTGTATTCCTCTCTCAGGCTGTTATATTTTTCGCTTAGGTTATTGAAAGCTTCCTTTTTCTCATCGGGGATATCCTTCTTCTTCTTCTCCAGGCGAAGCTTCACAGCTTCGATTTGTCTCTTGAGCACTTGGATCTGTAGTATTTTCTCCTCATGCTGTTTCTGCAGTGTTTCCAACTCTGATGGTGCTTTGGCTAAAGCTTTAAGAGTTTAGTGTCTCAGACAACCAAAATCCAAGAAACGATAGATTTCATATACGCTATATATTCTTATTATTTACTCTGAAATTTACTTTCTAGAGGTTGTTTCTGATAATGTAATGAATAATAATGTTACTAGTTTCACTTTAGATAGAGAATCAGATGTTACAGGGACACCACCGCTGTCTAAAAAAGGAGGAAGAGGTCGCAGGTGTTGGGATTTGAACCTAAACCTGAATGCCACCATTTAAGAGTGGTTTCATGAATCTACTGAGCTAAACCATACATTCATGAATCAAATGTTACTTTTGATTTGAGAAAATGCATGATATTGGGGAAAGAGAAGAGAGGGGAAGTATTTGAACTTCAACAAATTCAAAAGAAAAAGTATTTGAACTCTTGACAGCAATGCATTAGAGAAAAGCATGAGAGCTCATTGTTCAGTTTTCTGACTTTCTTTCTAGCTCACTAGTTTGTAAATGCCTCAAATATCTAAGGCTACTGTACAAAGAAAACCGTTCTCTTCAAGGAAAAAGCTATTGATTTGAGTCATTTTAATTAATTGATAAATTGGACAAGTTCGGAATTTATGGTGTCATCTCTGTCGTAGAGGGAAAAATAAAAACTAATTGAAAGGTAGTAAGAATTTGGTACCTGCTGGAGGATTGTAGGAGCTGCTACTGCTGCCTTCCATGATGTTTACAGATTCCTGAACAAAAAAATGTTGTCAGGGTCTTTCCTATGTAGCTTCTCTTCACTCCACATCATATGTAAATGCCTTCATCTGATTTCTTTCTCCACGACTGATCATTTTTCTATTTCAACTCCTCCCAAAGAAGACAAGGGTGAGGATCAAAGAACAAAACTCATGGAAAGGGAACCTAGCTATTCAAATTCTTAGAATTTTCTAGTGCAGTTTGTTCTGATTTTTTGTATGTCAATTTCTCTGTCTTTTACCTTCACATTCACATGTGAGAATTGCACTACTCCCTTTGAAGAAGAATCTTCCACTTGTTTTCATATTTTATATCTACTTTGAATCTGTTATCCTTCTTTTGAGAATAGTATACATATATATATATATATATATATTTAACAATTTGTTTATTCATCGGTTTTATGAAATATTTACAATATTTACAGTGTCAAAGAATCAAAGCTCCATTTCGAATGAAATGAGAACAGGGAACTAATTAAGAGAAATTACATATAACAGTTAAGTTTACTAATTGCAAGGAAAATTATGTGGTGGTGCAAATCAAACCTGTTAAAAGAAATGCATTCAGGTACATAAAGCAGATTTGAATAACCAGAAAGAGTAAGCAGATGTCATAACCTAGTGGGGTACTCAACTGTGTTTATATCCTGCATGCAGAGGTCACATTATTCAGTACTTTTATGGCATTGAGTACAATCAGGAAATGCTTTTATTTAACCAAGTTTTGCTAAATCAATACCAGCATCAACAGTTACAGCATGCTTTTTGGGAAATTTTTTGTTTCTAGAAATGCAATCTATGTCAGTGATTTTTTACTATTCCTGGTAGACAGTGAATCTAGTGACTTAAACCTTTTGGACAGGTTCAAACTCAAAAAGGCTACAACTCCTTCAAGCCACCATTAGAGTTCTTGTTTAAGGTTGATGCCGAACAAAGTGATGAATAAAAGATGAAATAAATAAACAACCATATAGGATACCACCTTGAGAGTTCGAAGTATCAGAATTACCTCAAAAACTGAAGTGTGGAAAGGAAGGACTTGAAACAGAAAATTAGAGAAACAACAATAAAGGAAAATAGAAATTAAGAAAATATTAGCAAAAATCACATAGTTTTAAGAGTTAGATCGGTACTAATTCCGCTGACGCATGTCACCAACGTGTCAACATGCGGACCCAAAATTAGACAAATCACTTACATATGGTCGCCTTGGTGGCCTCCATTTGAAAATAAAGTTTCTAAAGGTTTACTTGCATGAACCAGTGGCGGGATTATTTTTAGAGAGATTGAAAAAAAAGATGGTATTGAGATTAGTTGACATTGGATATTGCAGTGACAAGATTAAAATTAATTATGAAAACATATGTTTGAAAGCAAACGCAATGATAGTGTTGAGATTTTTTATTTCTACAGAGGGCAGTCGCCTGCGCTAGGATCTAGTTGTTCACTTTACGCATGTAATCCAGGCAACTACATTGCAAGATGCTACTCAAATACACCCTACGTTTCAGTTAACCCAAAAAAGGGGCTGGATTCCTTGCCACCGGAGGTGCAATGAACTCCAAACGGGTCCTAAATATATAAAAGTTGATAGTATGATAATGTTGAACGTTTTTTTGTTTAACACAACTTGGGATTAGGCACTTTTAAAACAACCCCAAAGCCTTCTAAGAACTGTAAGAATTGATTAAAATTAATGCAAGAAAAACTAACCTTTACAGTGCAAACTCGGCTTTCTGTAACTCTATATATCCAAGAAACTGCAGCCTGTATGTTTTTCTTTGTGGGTGGCCCCTTCACAATGAAATCCAGCACTTGTAACAATGGAAGAGAACTTCTACGATATTATATAAGCTGAAACCTGGAAGGTGACACTGACACATGACAGAGGAAGAACTTGCAAATTAAACAAAAAGCTATAATGAGAAAAGAGAATCTGCAATTGATGGAAACAATATAGAAGCCATAGATTCTGGTACAGAGATGTGCTGAGCTCTTGATGTGAACGTCTATCTGGTCCTCACACATCCCTCTCTCTAGTACCATACAAAAGAATCAGAATATTGTGTGTGTATGTGTGTGTGTTGCTCAGCAACAGACATGAACATGTTTCAAAACTGATTAAGCTGATGACATCATGCAAACAAGGAGCATCTTTATTGAGTGTGTCTTTTTTTCAACTTGGACAAGCTTTTGGGCACACACAGGACAATCATGGTTCATGGCATTGGCAACTTGGCATGGGGCATTCAATGCCAATGAGCTTTGCTTTTTCTGCATTGCCTTATTGCTATATACGGGAAATTTTTTGGAAGTTCTTGTGCCGTAGAAATGAAATTATGTTTGAACAGATAGATATTATGGCGTCAGTTTAATTCCTGGAAAAGGGCCGGTGGGGGCATGGGTCGGATGCCAAGTTTCCCATATCTTCTAGTCATGATCAAAATCAGCAGATGGTCTTTGTCGTTAATGATTGATTGACTGGCATTAGGCTGGTACGTCTTGGATGGCTTCTGGCTTCATCTTGAATTCATTCCTTTCATGATGTCCAACTTCAACTCTACCTTTCTTTTATCCTTGCGTTGTTTTCTGATGTTCAAGTATTAATAGATAATAATAAATCAGCCATGCCCAGGATTTTCCATTTTCATGTATGGGCCCAAACTTGAGCCACAGAATTTAATACTTTTCACAATAAAATCAATGTATGTATTTTAGTATGAAGTATTTAAACATGAAAATTTATTATATCTAATATAAATTGATTATAGCTTCTTAAATTTTGAAGTGGATTTATAAGTTTAGTACCGTTTGGACTCATGGCACGGTGATTAGGGTACTTTTTTTCCAATGGATAAAGTAGAAAAGATCATCTATCTAATAGTATCCTTGGTAAGAGAAAAAGAGAAAGGAGCGAAAAAGAGTGCAAAGAAAATAATGTTTCTTTCCTTTACTTTCTTTGTTTTATTGATAGAAGAAAAAGAAAGTTTTTTGATAAATTTTTATATATTTTTCTTCACCCCAAATTTAAGCTTTTCAAATGAGAAAGAAAACATTTTTACTTAACAAATTAAATATTTATTTATAATTTTAACCTAAAAAATTTCCTTCTCTTTTTTTTTCTTTCCATCTATTCTCTCTATTCTTTTTCCTTCCTGCCAAACATGATTAAATATTGTATTGTGATATCATACCCTTTCAACTGCTAGTTGAGAAATTTTGAGCCATGCAACACGCAGGATAGAGATGTATAATTAAGAGAATAGATTCAAAGCACTAAACATAACTATATTCCTTCTTCTTTTTTTCCTTGGACAAACTTTTTCATTTCTTTCTCTTTGTTTCCCACTATCCACTGGGTTCTGATTTTCATTGAGACTAGTTTCCAAACAATAATGATTTTGCCTAAGAAGTATTGGCAAATAAGTAGGATCTTAGGGGACAAATTAAAATGGTGATGAAGGCCTTTACAAAATCCCATAGTTCACTCTAGTGGGAATTGCAAAATCTTGTCCATGCATGAATATATGCCCCTTTTTCCTTCCTCGTATTAGAAACTCCAAATGAAATCAATAATTTGAAAAAAATTCTCTTACAAGGAAGAATTGTTATTTTTTATATCATAATGTATAGATTCAAAAATTTATAGTTAGACTTCATAAGAGAAGTTGCCACCCATTTTTTATTTAGGTGTGATTGGTTACCTAATAAATCTATCTATTAAGAACTCCTAAGCTTGACTAAAGGTTCCTAAAGAATATGTTCTGGTTTACTAATCAGAATAAAGTTTGGGAGTTTGATTAGATATGAGTAAGGTTATAGCACCTCCACATACCCATCCAAAGGATGATACTATTTTATTTTAAATCCTAAGGTCTTGATTTTAATGGTCTTAAATTTTAATATTGAATATTGGAAATAATTTTAAATTGCTCCATCAATCTGGCAAAATTTTTAAAAACACATCCTCATCTCAAGAGTATTCAAGAATCCCATTTGTTTT